ATTCAATGATGAATATTCCAATATCTGATATTTTAGATTTTACTTACAGTTTCCGATTTATCCCAGTCATATTCCTTCGCCTGGGAAAGTGCCGTGACTGGCATACAATTTCTACACGCATAATTCAATGCAGTCAACATGAAAATAGCTGTACCCCAAAACCATTCCTCTTTCCTAGAAAAAAGCACAAAAATAATAATTTCAAAACAATCATCTTATTTTACTTTTATCTGAACAAAACCTACCTTGATTTAAGCAAATTAACATTAATACTGAAATAGATAAACAAGCAGCCTGCTGGCTGATATAGCTCCGCTTTATGATTGAAAATTGTATTTTTTACCAAAAATCTGTCGTTTTCAAGAAGAAGTCGAAAATGTGAAGTTGATGCTGACGAACGGTGGATGCTGTACGACAGATAATCAGTAATATGAATAGCTCCGCTATTTTGACTAAATTGAAAATGGAGGTAAAAATGTATTTTTAATTTGTTTTTAATATCAGGAGATACAGAAATGTTACATTGCTAAATTTATACATTTAGGCACAAAAAACAACTTTCATAAAATAAAACCACTAATTGTGATCAACCCCTTTAGCCAATAGGAAATTATCTTCATTTAGTCCACAAATTTCCAAACAAATAAAAGAAAAATAAATATAAGAAAATTGTCGCACCAACATGTTGACAGGAAAAAATATGGAATGATTTCTATGAGGAAATAAATCTGGTATGTACATGTCAGTGACATAAAAAGTCAGCTACAGATATTATTAATGACAGAAATCCTAATATTGTTAATTTCATAAACTGATATATAATTACGTGAACTTTTTAGACCAGGAGACAAGGGAGGTGTCTCTTTACAGAACTTTTTCGGTCAATTTGGGGGTGCCAATTCCAAAAATTTTCACTGGAATTAGTTTTTGCTGAAAAGACTTTTTAGGTGTGTTATATGGAATTTATTTTCACTGATTTTTGGCGAGTTGAATGTAAAAGATAGGAAAAAAGGTATATTCGCTGGATTTTATTTTCACTGAATCATTCCTTCAGCGAAAATTAATTCCAAGCGAAAATAAAGTATTCCACAGAATTATACAACAGTTTACGGGTTTGTATGGTCTAGATGTATCAGTTTACACCCATACAATATAAGGGTTTACCAAATCAACATAAAAACAATTCAATTTAATGATGTCATACTTATAATGTGATGTGTTACATTACAACGTAGTTAAGTTGTCAAACTATATGTAGCCATTTTGATGACGATGCACACAAATGAATGTCATAATTCTTGTATTTAAAAAAAAAAAAAGAGTACTGAAAATTCTTTATTTTAGCTGGAATTAATTTTCGCTGAAAAGACTTTTTGGGTGTTTTGTGTGGAATTTATTTTCACTGATTTCTGAAGTTGAATGTAAAATATAGGAAAAAAGGTATATTCGCTGGATTGTATTTTCACTGAATCATTCCTTCAGCGAAAATAGCGAAACTTAATTCCAAGCCAAAATAAAGTATTTTACAGTATTCAATAACTACTTGTTATATCCAACTACATTTATATGAACTTTATATGGACCAGAAAATGAAAATAAATAAATACAGAAAATGGCAGAAAATCTTATTTTGTTCATTCACTTAGTTTTGTGCTAATTTTTTTTAATGATGAATTTGATGAACTAATATTTTTTCTCTAAGATTTAGGCATCCGATTTTTTTTTCTGTTAATGATCCCTGCAGGATTTTTTCCAAGATTTATTTACAAGTGCATATTGGTTATTAAAATCACAAGAAAAAGTATTACAATGAAATCAACAATGACGATGACAACAACAACGAGGACAGACATTTTGCCCTTTCTATCTCCGCCTCTCTTGCTCCCCTGTACTCAGCAACCAAAGCCTCCTTATCAGCAGTTTGTTTTGCCTTTATGTTATGGATTTACAGCTCTAAACTTTATGCCCATCATAAATCTACACATTAGTATTAACACCAATTAAACTACTGGTACTTAGGTAACTTAACAGAACATAGAGAAAACAAATATTATATTATTCCAACTCGGATACTCCCTGTGATTATCTTGTTCGAACATATTATGACAAATGCGAGGTGCCGATTTAATCAGTCTACCCCACGATTATAACAAATAACTGAAGTTCAACGGTGGGGAAAGTCTGGGTTAGGGGTCGCCAATTTGAAATCATGGGCGTGGCTGGTAGATTTGTTTAAAAAAAAATGCAAACACCGAGACAAAAAAAAATGCATGAAAGTTGTTGCAGGGAAAACATGTTGGCACAGTCAAGAAAAATAAGAATGTTCAGACAAGAAAAAAAATTGCTCTGGTCGGTCATGCTCTTCCAGCCACCCCGCATGATTTCACAAGATTGACCCCTTAGGTCTGTGAATGTAGAGGTGTTTGTTTTCATTGAGACCTTGTACCATCCAAGGTTAACCCTGACACGATACACGGCACTATTTTAAGCTAAGTGTGTCGTGCTGGAAACTATTAATAGGTACTAGGTTGGTCCTGTGCACATTTATGTTGTTTTAGAGTGCGTGCGACCAGAACAACAGACATGTACATATGGCTAGTACGTCCAGGCATGGAGCTCCATGGTCCAGGGTAGTACAGATGTAAATAATGTAATAAGTAAGTGTACTGTTGATTATTAAAAATCGAGTCTTGTTCGATGTTTCATAAATTACCTTGTCCAATATGTCGCTTGCGTCGAAATAAGAATTTCTTTATCATCCTCGGGTTCAATTAGTTGAATCTCAGAAATATCACTTTCCTCGGTATCTTCAAGAACCTCCATATCCATATTTCCAGCCGAACTGCTCGATTCGCCGGTAAGTGTCGCCATCACGGAACATCAAATGCGCATGCGCATAAGTTACTTCGTGACCTCGACTCACTTTCGAGAATCTGCATCTAGAATAGAACAACGAATGTGTTGCTTATTCCAGGGAATAGTTAACAAATATTTCGGGGTTTTTGTATTTGAATAAATTATTAAAGATCCACAATGGTCGTCGCCCAGGGTGTCTTCGAATTTCATGTAAACAAACAATGTATTTTACACGCGTTGTATACGTCGCTGTGAGTCCCATATCGAACAGGACGCGGTGCGACGACCACCGCTCGTTAAATTTGTAGTATTGTTGTTTGATACTGTTTGTTGTTAATATGTGATATCGGATTTATGACCTCATGTACATGAGTTTAATAAATCCGTTATCCATCAATTGGGAATTTCGCAATCTGATCCTAGTTTGGGCTTTATTTCTTTTTAATATGTGTATAATTATTTATTTTTATTATACGTTATCTTTTACTTTATTTTATTTTTATTTATTATTTATGAGCTGGCACTTATTTTGGTAATCGCGAAAGCCCACATGGATCTGATCCGATGGCCATATAAATCCCGTTCAAATCTCGTATAAGATACAGCCCGATCACAGGTAGTCTTTTATATGTGGCGATACGCAATAATAATAAAACAATTACAAAGTAATAAAAATATATGGTGAAAATAAAATATATAAAATAAAGTAAAATTCACGCCGTACAAACATCAGATTTTAATCAGATTGATCCGTTTCGCAGATTTTAACGCCGTAAATACATCGGAAACGTAAAATCTGGGTCAAATGACATTAGTATTTTTGTTTTTACATTTTATTACAGCGAGCGCAAGATATTTACATACACCTAACTCGCGCACCCGCTAGGTAATTACCGAGGGACTTTGCAACATCCCCAGACACTTTGCTAGACGCCCCAACGACCGTTGTAGACGCAATAAAGTTACATACACTCTCACGTGACAGTTAATCAAAACACCGGACGCGGTATGCCTTTGATGTGTGGGCACGAGGAACGAGGGGTAGTTTGGATATTCCATTGCTTTGTAGTTATA